TTTGTTATTAAATTATATAAAAAAGTAAACTAAGAAGTATACAAAAAGAGAACTTTGTAAATTGCTATTTAATATTAATATCGATGTAAATTCCTATGTAGCCTTCAAATTTATATTTTTATTCAAATATAAAACATTATGGTTTTCTGAAATATATATATAAAATTGAAGGTGTTTGGAAATGGAATAGATAGTATCATACCTTATAGCTTAGGTAGTTGGTTCACTTGGTTGGACGGAAAGCTCTAAACAGAGGACGTGGATCTGAGGAACAAAAATAGATGATAAGAAGTAATTAATGTTACATGGGTTATCATTAAGGATATTTAATAAATACACCACATACCTACAAAATCACAACCCATACAGTTTTCACCACCAAAGTAGAATCGTTGTAGGTAATATTGTCCAGGAGTCGTAGTTTGAAAAGGAGAGAGATCCCCACCAATTATATGATTCCATGACTTGTAATAACCCAACACATCTTCTTCATCTTCATCTTCATCTTCATCATACACAAAACCCACCCCACACTCCCTTGTACTACAACCATCATTATCAAATGTGGAAATAGTAATTTGATCACCATCTTCCATCTCATTCTTCCCAAACATCCAATGGCTAGAAAATGTTATACCCTCTTTTCTTCCTATAAAAAACCCTCCAATATAATAGATCCAGGTGCACATCTTTGTTATATTACTAATCCTTATAAATGAAATATAAGCTAAGAACTCTCCATCATTTGTTATGAACTCTCCAGGTGTAAACACGCAGAAGAGATTCAAGCCTCTAAGGTTGCAAGGAGATGATGGGATGGTAAATGATATTGATGACCCCTCCCACCTTCTATCACTTATCCAATTTGGCATCTCTTTCCCCACATACCATGTGCTGAATATCCCAAATTCATAATCCATCTGCCAAATAAAAGCTTCATTTATTATATCTACATATTAATCACACAAACAAATATAGTTAAATGAGAACAAACCTTGACTCTTCTTTTTACACCTTTTACTTCCGTCGGCTGAATTTTGGTGAAGTCTAAATTAACTAAATGACTCCACCCCAAACTACGTAATACCTTTTCCTGAACATCTCTCATATCTTCCGCTTTATACATGCCTTCAATATTATACCATTTATACGCACCCGGCATCGCCCACGTTAACAGGACTGGTGACATTTCTCGATTAAATGTAGCTTCCGCTTCTCGATGAAAATCAAATCTCAGTTCTTTTAGTGTAGGTGGAGGATGCTCCAATGACTCCAGTTTATCATTCTCACGAATACTAAGTATCTCAATCCTGGAAAGGCTTTTCACCCAATTGGGCAATGAAACGAAAAGATTGTCATCTAAATACAACTCCTTCAACATGGATAGGCTACTCATGTCCATCGGAAAGGATTCGTTGGACAAATTATTATTTGCTAGTGACAAGCATACTAATGAACTCGGTAGATAAATCAGATAGGACTCGAAAGCTCTTGGTATAGCCTCCACAATGGCAGAGGAAGAGGTTTGTGAGTTCATACCAATGTTGTTACGGTTCGACGTTTCCTCCACGTCATCCCTCATCTCGATCGGAGTTTCACCGAGATTACAACCATCTAAATTTAGAATTTTGACGTTCTTCACCTTGTTTATCATTCTTAAAAGCTTCCCGGCGTTATTGCAGTAACTCAGATCAATGAGGTCAAGTCCATCATATTGCTCAATTGACTCACAAACCTCRATCAAACTTGAGCAATTTGAAAGTATTAACCTCTCAAGTGCAGGGAATTCAGAAAATCCACC